TTTTACAAACTCTTTATGAACTTTTTCGAGGTGTCAAAGTGGTAGTTGTGTAGCTGTCAATGGAAGGACAGAAATTGCTCAGATTTCCTTAAAAACATCTTCATTTGTGTTCCGAAAGATGAACAAAAGTCTTACGGGTTTGGAAAGACATGAGGATGAATAGTTCATGACAGAGTTTTTAGGTGAACTAACCATTTAAGGGTGTTAATCCATTTATATTAATAATCTCAAATACACAAAAACCATAATATTACATTATGTCAAAAAGGATAAAAACAACATGATCTGCAAGGACAAGATAGTCTGGTATTCTGAAGATTAGCTATGTTATTAAAGTTAAATGGATTTTAAAACCGTAAAAAAAAAAAAAACTGATAGTGTTTATGCTTCGGCCCTTGTTTTCATGTGAGAAAGCCAATAACAATGGAGGAACAAGTCTGGTCCTAAACCCAATCCGTTCAGAACAGACAACAAGATTATACCATTGCTAAAAGGCATACTGGTCATGCAAATCACAGCGACTAAACAAGTGTTGACTTGCCATATTACAAATACAAATTAGGACGAAATATAAAGGAAAAGCTTGCTTGTGATGAGGAGGATTCAACCTTTGAATACGAGAAACCTCCCAAAGTTAATACAAACCTAATCCCAAAATATGAGACCGGTTATACCTGACAGCAAACCCAACCTGCATAAATAAACGTAGACGGTATGAAAGCTAGAACACTGGAAAAGCAGAAGATGTTGGGGTTGTGTGACAGGATAGTCACATAAAACCGCCTGGGTTGTCAATTTAAACCAGCTGTCCGGGGGAACTCACTATACAGGGGGACTTCTTCAAATACCAGAGGGTAGTTGTTAGTCACCGTCCACCGAGTCAGCCTTTTCTTTCAAACAGTTGGGCCTGAACGGCATCTGTGACTTACACATTCCTACATTTGCCTTCAAGTCTTCAGGCCTCTTTCAGATCAGCACATTACTAGTCAAATAATGCATTTAAAAGTATAAAGAAATGCTGTTAACTGTCAAAAATTGGCCAATTATAAAAACTGTTCTGAGGGTTAACATGCTATGGAAGCTTGTTTCCGCCACAGAAGGAAAAATAAAAAAGGTAATTGCGACTTTTTATCTCACAATTCTGACTTTTTTTCTCACAATTGCGAGATATAAAGTCAGAATTGCGTGATATAAAATCGCAATTGCGTGTTATAAAGTCAGAATTGCGAGATATAAAGTCAGAATTTATTGATATAAAGTCGCAATTGCAGGTTATAAAGTCAGAATTGCGTGAGATAAAGTCGCAATTGCGTGTTATAAAGTCAGAATTGCGTGAAATAAAGTCGCAATTGCGTGAAATAAAGTCGCAATTGCGTGAAATAAAGTCGCAATTGCGTGAAATAAAGTCGCAATTGCGTGTTATAAAGTCAGAATTGCGAGATATAAAGTCAGAATTGCGTGAAATAAAGTCGCAATTGCGTGTTATAAAGTCAGGATTGATATAAAGTCGCAATTGCGTGTTATAAAGTCAGAATTGCGTGATATAAAGTCGAAATTGCGAGATATAAACTATTCTGAGGGGAAAAAAGTTAGTCTTTTTTCCCCCTTAGAATTGGCCTGATAACTCGCAATTGCGAGTTTATATCTCACAATTCTGAGAAAAGATGTCAGAATTTCCAGATATAAACTCGCAATTATGTGTTATAAAGTCAGAATTGCGAGATGTAAACTCGCAATTGTGAGAAAAAAAGAAAAAAAAGTCTTTTTTTCTCACAATTGCGACTTTATTTATCATAATTGCGACTTTATATCTCGCAATTGCGACTTTATTTCTCAGAATTGCGACTTTATATCTCGCAATTGCGACTTTATTTCTCAGAATTCTGACTTCATATCTCGCAATTGCGACTTTATTTCTCAGAATTGCGACTTTATATCTCGCAATTGCGACTTTATTTATCATAATTGCGACTTTATATCTCGCAATTGCGACTTTATTTCTCAGAATTGCGACTTTATATCTCGCAATTGCGACTTTATTTCTCAGAATTCTGACTTCATATCTCGCAATTGTGAGATAAAAAGTCGCAATTATTATTTTTTATTTTTTTTGTTCAGTGGCGGAAACAAGCTTCCATAACATGCACATCAATGAACAGAAAATGCAAGAAAGGTGTTTGTCATAATGTCAAAGACGTGCAGAACACGTGTTGGAAAGCGAGCAAATCTAGATCCACTGATCAGATTTTGCTTCAGCTAGGTTGTGCATGTAAACAGACTCAATTTGCCATATATTTATGTGAACAGTCAGTGACCATATGAATATGCCTAAAGTATTAGCAGTTTTCAAAAAAATTAATCACCTGATAAGGGCAGATATTGGAAGCATACAATATCAATGCTAGGGATGCACCGATATGAAAATTTTGGCCTATACTGATAACCGAGAATTTTTCATATTTGAAAGCCGATAACCGATAAATATAAATTTATATATAGTTTTTGAGAGCCTGATTACAAAAAAAGTCTAACCATTAAAAGACATGTCCCAAGCACAGTTATAATGTTTTTATAATAATTTTTTGTAGCCCATATGACTGCACATGTTGCACTTAAACGTATTGTCCTTTTTTAAGTGATTTCAATCATATTTCAAGGGATTTAAAACCATCATGGTGAACAATGAGCATCTGAAGTGTCTCAGCTGAAGGAAATAATCCATTATTTATCGGCTTTAATATATCGATACGATAACATAAACAATTAACATATATCGGCTGATAACGATATGGTGGCCGATATATCGTGGATCCCTAATCAATGTCTACTTTTTCTAATTTAACAGTGTATTAAACATTACACAATATAATCTGATGCTGGATTTCACTTCAAGTAAGGAAATATTTCACACAGTAGTGGCCAAAAGTGATGTCTGGAGGGGATATTTGTTTGTAATAACACTACAAGTTCGACAAACCATGAAAATATGACCATAATAATACTATATAGTATTTTAAATATAAGGGAAGAACAAAACACTGAACTTGGTTATATCTGACAAAATTATTTGGCGAAAGAAGCAAGCTACATCTACAGATTTTATTTTACTATGCAAAATATGCATAGAAAAACTATAAATATTATATATATAAAACCTGAAATTACAATCTTGCTCATAGGTAGCCTACAGCTTGTAGGATTTGAAATCTACAAACTTTGAGTTACTTTAATAAACTACAACAACAGCATTTCAACATGAATGAATTCATGTATTTCTCCTCTAGACTTTGTAAATCAAACCATGACATAAGTTATGATGGATTTTACATTTACCATCTCTAAAACTGTCAGATAAAAATTAAAGCATCCCATCGGAAGCATGCGGTCGTCACAGAAGTATAACACAAGAGATAACACAAATCTGGCTGATGATCTGGCCACGAGTTCAACTTGTCCTGGCATCGTCTCTAACCAACCCGTGGCTTAGAGGTGTGTACGGATCATTTAGCCTAATGCAAAGGAGAGAGCTGGTTACAGCTTTTTACAATGCTGAACAAAAGTTTTTAAACTAGAGTACAAATAAATGACCTGAGCAAATTCCAGCAGCCAAGCCAAGTAGCATATGCAAAAAAAATGGAAAGTATCTAAGCATCAATGAATCTGCAAGAGGCTGACAAGAAATGAATCAAAATTAAATCAAGTGTCTTTTTCCAAAACATTAGCCTAAAATATGGCATATGCTCTGCTTAAGAGGTCTATAAGTGCATAGAATAGATTCACAATTGTTTTCTGTTCCCTACCAATAAGATCTAGCCTTTATATTATTGTGTTACAGTGTGTGCTTTTATTATTCTGTCTATCCTGCGTGCATCATGCCTTCTGCTTCCATGGAAGGAGTGTTTACAATTCAGGTCATTCAGGGTAGCTGCAAGTCACGCCACAAAATAAACAAACAAACGGCACACTATGTTCATTCACGGTGGAATGTGATGTAGCGCTCCAGTCATTTCCTGCTCAACTTAAACATGCAACAAGTTTAAAGTCATATTCATTAGTTAAGCTGGGTCAGGAGGCGCCCGATTAAACATGTACTCAAACAATACACTGCTTTTCCCATTACACTATATGTTTAGCTGCATTTCAGTCACATGACGGGCCACTTAATACTTCCCAGGCATGTCTACTTGAATTCAGTTAATGCATTTACAACTTCACCACCACAAAAGCCCATGTCATATAATTCCATGCTTGGAGAAATACTTTGTATAACACAATAGAGGGATATTTCATATTTCAGCAGTGTTAGTCAAAAAGACCGACACCATATGACCCAGGGGACTTTTTCTACCTTATTCATGCACAATCCCAGGACCAGCTATAGTCTATCCTATAGGGAACCAGTTTGATCAATCACTATGACAGTGAATGAGACAGTGAGTGTCAGAACACTTTGCCACAAGCAGAACTAGGCTAGATTTCTTTCATAACTTTTCAACTAGCCCTTTAAGACTTTTAATAGCACACACTCTTTTAAATAGACAACCGTTTAATCAGTCTAATAAGTTATACTCCCTTTCTGAGGTTAATTTCAATCCATGCCCTATGATATACTGCTCAGCATGCTGGTATGATGGCTCAGAATTTAACAGCATGTTGCTACTTGACTTTTCCAGGGCTGTACACACACACACACACACACACACACACACACACACACACACATCTATGATTCAGTGCTGCCAAATGTGGCTTAAATACATTTGTTGCATAATAAAATCCAAACACCTACTTAACTTTGGTACTACAATAAGATGATTTAATCAATAAATACAATGACTTAAAATGCTTTAAACATAAAATGCATGGGTTTAAGATGACTTGAAGATGAAATGCATTGATTTAATGTGGGTTAAACATGAAATGCATTGGTTTAAGATGGTTTGAACATTAAATGCATTGATTTTAAGAAGCATACATGTCTTTAAAAGTACCATACTCACCCCATTCCAAAAACTCAGCAATGTTCTTCTCTCTTCTGAGTGGGGAGTTGATGCACTCATCATAAATGCAGATGAGAACATCCAGAAGAGTTTCCACACTAAAACACTGTCCATTAGACTGGACAGGACCATCCAGGATCAGTTTCTCCAGCTTTTTCAAACGCACTTCTCCAGACATGGTTCAAAATTGTTTAATTTACAGATATTTAAGTGCCTTTAATGTAGCTACTCAAGCTAACAGCTAACAACATTCTCGCGAAACATTGTCTCTTAACTGTTTTTTTCTCATATAAATACAAAAAATCGTGTATTAATAATAACAAATACTAGTGTCAAACCATGTCAAGTATATAAACTTAAAAAAATTCCCAGTTTGTTCAACTTTAACGGGTTAAAATAACTGATGCTAATGATCCGGCTAATAAAGACGTTCGGCTAGGAGGCTAGCCGATTTTAGCTCGTCCTCGAAGAAAATTCTCCTCAAAACCAACAGAAATAACATGACACGCGCCCCAAATGTTATGTTCAGGCATTACATGTGTGGAAAATATGGATAAAATGTGTTTATATCCGCAAAAAGTGAGTTTAGCGAAGTTCTCCAAAGGCACCGATTGAGTGTCACTTAGTTTTCCTCAGTCCTTTTCCCATGAATAATTCCTGAAAAAGCTAGTCCTGCCAGCGGGATGAAGTCAGTCCGTCAGATGATGATGGTGGTGGTGATGATGGGGTGAAGATGAGGAGGAGGAAGGTGGCGGTGTGGATGCGGGGTGACGGGGTGATTCTCTCTCATCTGCCCGCCGCCGCTGAGTGTGTTTCAGGAATGATGAGGAGAAACATGGCGACTAGATGCGCTCTCTCTCTCTCTCTCTCTCTCTCTCTCTCTCTCTCTCTCTCTCTCTCTCTCTCTCTCTCTCTCTCTCTCTCTCTCTCTCTCTCTCTCTCTCTCTCTCTCTCACTCACTCACACACACACACACACACACACTACACACAATCACATTCAGACACGCACAAATAAAAAATAAACATACAAAGATATACAGTACACATACCAGGACACATGTAGCTACATACCTAGAACACACATATACAGAATATAGACACTCTAAAGAAAAACTAAATAAATAAATATAAATACACTTACATACATAAATAAACAGAGGTGCATATACAAACACAAAGACACACGTTTACATATAATACATAAATACACATATAACAGCTGTTTAGGAAAGAGGGGGTGGGGTGGGGTGGTTTGGAGGGGGTGGGGCAGGTTGGGGTCACACTTTCATTTTTCATGATAATTTGGATAGTATCAAATATGCTTATAGGGATGATTTGCTGTAGTTTAGTTGTTTAGTTGAATTAGTTACTTTACTCTTGTAATTTATATTAGGCTTAGTGTTATTTATTAGGTGCATAATCCATAATTGTCCAATACATCTCTGTTTATACAGTTTATCAATGAGTGAAATCTATCCCTCTATCTATCTATCCATCTATCTATCAATCAATCAATCAATCAATCTATCTATCTATCTATCTATCTATCTATCTATCTATCTATCTATCTATCTATCTATCTATCTATCTATCTATCTATCTATCTATCTTTTATTTATTTTTTGTAACCCATATGTCTAGAAACTTTAATAAGGCAGTCAAATGTAGGCTATGAGTATTCTTTTGGTAAGCTATTAAATTATAGTGAATTTATGTAAAAATTAAAAATGTTAATAAATGGAAAAAGTTCCTTATTACTGTGAACTTCCAAAGATAGTACAACAAGTGTATAACTAAATTCATTACACTAAAATTAAAAACTTTAATTGCTGGCATGGATGATAAGCTCATTGCACTTTTCAAACACGTTGAATTTAATTACAAATGAAGAAAATAGAGTTAAAGTTGAAGTTGAGGAAATGGCGCAAATCATTGTGACAAGTTAAATAAACAGAATGACGTTACAGTATGAAATGGTGTTCTGCTCTAAAACAATAAATGCTCTCACTGTACCATAAGAAATGAATCTATAGTTGACCTTTCTGATGAAGGGTGATTTACAGTAATGTGGCGGTCTCTACCATAATCTGTTTACAGTATTGAATGCTGTAATGTAAAATGCTGTATTTGATGCCATCTGTCTCCCTTCTTCTGATGCATCTCTGATCAATCTGATGTTTCACAGTCTTATCATTCCTCTCCCTTGTACTTTATCCTGCTATATGTTCACAAATTGCTAATTTCTCTGTCACACACACACACACACACACACACACTGAACATTGTGGTTATAATCTAAATCGCTTATAATGTAAAAATAATTCATTACATTTATCCGTATAAATTGCAAACAAAGTAGAAACTATATCTATAGAAATCTATAGATGTACCAAATGATTAAGATCAGTTGGATTAAATAATAGACAAATGTATTACACTGAACGGAAATACAAAATCAAAAGTTTGATAGAAATAGCATTATGAAAGGCAGTTACTGTGAATGAAAAACATTTTTATGAAACACTTTGTGATTTGGTGTATTGCACTTACACAATTGAAAACGAGCTGAAATGACTTTTGATATTAGTTGTGACATTTTTGATCTGTTGTGATATTAGTACTAAGAGTTTTGAAAATGTAAAAATTGCTTGTAAAAATTGTGCCAAAGCAATAAATAAAAACACACGATATAATGATGACTCAGATCATGTTCTTACGACTCAGAATAACATTTATTCTACTATGGCATATTGACATAAATATGTTTACACTGTAGTCTAAGCTGAAGGTTCACCGCCAGCGCAATGCATTGAACATAAATGTACAGTATTTATGACTAGATATATGTCTGCAAATGCCAGAGCTCCCTCTGGCGACTGAAACAATCCACTGCGATTCTCCAGACAGTTTCAAGCAAAAACATGGTAAAGCAGCGTCACCTACAGGTCCTTTTAATTACTAATCTGCTACTTTTCCAATGGCTTGCATGGTATTCGTGGAAATAAAAGGTTACAGTTTGGATGTGAATGAATGAACATAGCTAATTTATGAAATGTAGGCAAACTGTGATTCAGAATAATCTCTTCTGGTTTGGCATTCTCAAGCAAAGAAAGCCAAACCAGACTGTTTATTAACAGTTAGTCTGTCTGAATAGCTTAATTTCATTTCTATTAGTCTTGATAGTGGATCAAATAAAGCCCTCGGCTCCATCATAGCAGTAAACATGAAGGACATCTGAGCTGTGTAGCTGGGCTGGTGGTTTCTATGAACAGGGTCTATAATGATCATCATTAACACCTTTTGTGTTTATTGGGGCTCTTGATTAAAAGGGGTAAAATACAGGACAGTGTTATTGTTGGTTTAATCCTTCTGATCCCTTTTCATATGCAATTAGATTAATGAGAAATGGCACTTTCAGTCTAGATCATCTAATTAATTGATGTGCTAGAATTTGCAGCATGCATGAGAAATCAAAGAAAGTCAGTTGTAACACCCCACCCTCCAAAACAACCGTCTATATAGGTATAAATAATAGTTTCGCTTAATGAGTCATTGAAAGTTTCAGGTCTAAGATCTTTTGTTATGTGCTGTGTATTCAAAACACTCAACGTCTCATAAAATATCTTACAGGGACAGAATTCCCCACTGAAAATGTTCACTGAAATGAAGTATTTTAAAACATAATTTAATAATATTTAATACTGAGACTAAGAATAACTAATGGTGACCATAACTAGGTTATGAAATGTACTCAAACTACTGGGGAAAATTAAGTTGAACATTTTTCAGAAAAAAAAAAGAAGTTATTTTCTTAACAGAATCGTTTTTTGACATTCGAAACATTTCAAATTCACAAGAATTTTTTTCTGAATGAATGGCATTAAATACATTTGTATTTATGAATACAAAACTTCAATCCTTTAGTCTTTATTCTTAAATACATTTGTATTTATGAATATGAAACTTCAATCCTTTAGTCTTTATTCATTTGATGTCAAACTGCTCTCTCTTTAATCGACAGTTTTTTAATGACTTGCAGCTGAAAGATTTGACAGAGATGCAATTGTGTAAACACATTAATTTAGCATTTTCTCAAGTCTTTCTGAGCTCTACAGATCATAGCTTTTAAATTATTATACCTTTATATTATTATGCCTTATCATCTCAAACTACAACCTGTCAACTGGGGTTTTCAAATTTCCAGTTTGCTTTTTAGAAACCTTTTTTTTCAGTTGCCATGGAGCACTTTTATACTATGCACAAAAATGAATAATATATATATATTAACAGTTCTGCATTCATTTTAGCCCTTTAAATGTATGTTAGAGAAAATGTGTCTTATCTGTGGTGCTATTGACTTCATTTGGAATAATAATAGCCATGTTGATTGTAAACATTGGATTGTACTTGTCTTGCCCATCCTGACAAACAGCGTCAGATAATAACACGATTACCATGAAAACATGGCTGTGTAGCAAGTAAATTTGCTTAGCTGTCTGACGTGACGTGATCCGTCATCAGCCGTTCCTGTGACGTCATTGTCTGACATCCCAGGACAACCTGCGGGCCCAATACACAATACACAGACTGGGGTAAGTTTAGTCCTTCTGTTGGCAGGACAGAAGAGGGTCTGATCAGTCCTGCAATAGTAACAGGATAATCACCCCCTTGAGAAAACTCCCTCCAATCCACATCCCCTCAGCTCACTCCTGGATTTACTGCCTGTGTTTGTGGAATAATGGACAGCAGGGGTGGGCATTTCTCAATACACTTCCCTCTCGCCCTCTTCCCTCTGCCAAACACACTGCTGCTTTTACCAAAGATGGTTAAAGCTGGAAAGGAGGAGGGAATGAACTGAAACACAGGCAGAAAGAATGGAAATGAATGCAACAAATAACTGAACCATGCACGAAAAACATTGACACAGTTTTAAAAGTTGTATCACTTGCATTATAAATGAATAAATGCGAAATTTTCTTGACAAAAAAACACATTCATTACGCTTGAGAAATAATAAATGAATGTAATAAAAAAGTAATCATATTGTAAAAATGCTTTGAAATAGGTTAAACTGATAATATACATGAAGTGAATGATTTAAAAAGCATGTGTGCATTAAAAAAACAATATATATATATATATAATATGCTAAATAATAATTAAATACAAATTTAAAACGCAATCATATCAAACTGATAAATAAATGTATAAGTACATAAATATAAATACATGAAGTGACTGTATTTAAGTAATATATATATATGATGCACTGAACATACTTAGGATGAAAAATTCACCAAAACACATTAATATTTGCTTTAAAACAATCATAAATAATGTAAAAAGTGATTTATTCTAGATTAAATTAAAAAGTAAATGTATAAATACATAAATATAGTGTGAATACATGGATACAGTACAGAATATATAATAAATATAATATAAGCATTTATATAAAAATAATATATATATATATTAATACATATATAAAAATATATAGTGTCCTAAACATACTTAGGATGAATTAAAAAAAGAAAAGAAAAAAAGTCATGAGCAACAATAGGTGGTCTAAATGGGACATGGCTTTGAAGGGTGTCTTTTTTAGGTTGCCTCCCCTTTGTGGAGGTGCGAAAAGCCAGACAGGGGGGTGTGGGGGGCATCAACTGTATATAAACCCCTGAGAGACTCAGTCAGTCAGTCAATCAGGAGAACGACACTGGCATCACTAGATCAAGCATGGCTTTGCTCATCCAGCTGTTCATCTGTGCCGCAGTCATCTCATTCACCGAGGGATTCCACCATGAGGATATGAAGCAGGCCATGCTCCAAAAACTTG